TTGAAAATTATTTATCTAACTCATGTTATCTAAGTCTTTGAGAAAATGAAGGTGGTAGACTTTCTAAATTGATTTTAGTTTGAGATATTAATTTTTTCAGATCCGTAGAAATATGTTCTTCAGGTCTTTTAGTTTCTTTTGTTTCTCTCACAACTTCTTTCTCTTTTATAACTACATCTTCCATCTCTCTTCCACTTCTTAATTGGACAGATTCTACTTGTTTATTATCGTTCTCTTTAGGGTTGATATCATTGTTACTAGGAAGTGTTCCTTGGGGTCTATTGCTAAGTAAATTAACAATTTGTCTCAGTTGATTCTCTATGTTTCTAATCGCAACATTTTGATCTTACAATTGGTTTCTCATTTGCAATATCACTTCTTCTATAGACATCTTTTGATCCTCAAATTGTTGATCATTATTATAGTCCCGATGATATGAAGGTCTATAGTTTGTTTTCCCCTGATTAGTTATTCCAACTTCCATTAGAATTTGCATGATTATTTTCCCATTGTTGGTTTTCACCATCAATAGTATGATGCCAATTAAAATTATGATGGTTCTTCCAATCTGGGTTATAAAAGTTAGAATACGGGTTGTTTATGACATTTAAAGTCTCATATGATAAGTTAGAATCATTCATATGCCCTAATAAGTTTTCCTCACTGGAGTAAATTGAGGCCAGTTCATTCCAAATTGATCCAACTTTCTTGATATTGCAGCAACCTGAGATGCAAGAATTGCAATTGCATCTATATCAAGAACACTGGTTACCTTTTTAGGATTTACCCTTGTAGAGGGTCATTGAAATTCATTTTTAGTCATTTTTTCAATTAATGCATAAGCTTCTTCAAATGATTTTGGCATTAATGATCCACCGTGACAGCGTCAATTTTAGACCTAAAGGATCCTCATAACCCATTGTAAAAAGTTTGAATGATTAACCAATCGGGCAGAGCATGGTGTGGAAACATTATTAGAAGTTCTTTGAATCTTTCCCAAGCTTCGTATATTGATTCTCCTTTATACTGAAAAAATAAGATAATATCGTTTCTATGTTTAGTAGTCCTTGAAGGTGGAAAATACTTAGCTAAGAATTTCTAAGTTAATTCCTCGCATTTTTAATAGAGTCAGGTGCTAATAAGCATAACCATATTTTAGTCTTATCATAACCATATTTTAGTTCTCTTAGTGAGAAAGGAAAAAGTCTTAGTCTAACAGCATCGTCTGATATGTCGTTATAACAAAATGTAGCACAAAATTCTAGAAAACTGGATAAGTGTAAATAAGGATCCTCTGAATAAGTTCCCCCAAACTGGTTGTTCTGCACCAGTTGGATAATCGCTAGATTTAGTTCAAACGAGTCAGCTTCTACGACAGGGGTTTGTATACTTGAGTGAATTTCATTTTTCTTAGGATTTACATAATCCCTCAATAATTTATGATGATTTTTTAAATTATTATTTTGAATGTTTACCATTTCCATTTCTAATTTTTCAAATCCTTTCTGTTTTTAGATTTTTTTTTCTTTTTTTCTAACTCAGAATCATAAGGTTTCAGTCTTACAAGTCATTTATTTCGCATATACAACACAACAAACAATATATTAACAATTAAACAAAAAAACAAAAAATATATTCAACGCAACAAAATATTTTCACGAATATCTTGTTTTTGACACAATTTTTTCACAACACTTTTTCATTAAAAAAATATTTTTCACACAAAAATAGTTGTTACGACACTACAATTTTCTAAGTCTAAGTCTAATTACTTCAACTAAATTCTCCTAGAAGTCATGATCAACCGTTGTGATCCCCGGCAACGGCGCCAAAAATTTGATTAAAATATTTTTTTATATATAAGGATTTATGAAGTTGACACTACTTGAAGATTTTAATCCCCTATAATGGCGTGAAAAACTTGATCCAAAACTTGATTCAAAGCAAAGTAAGATTTCAATTATATTTTTAAATAGTAGAGATTCTACACAAGTATATATATAGTTATCAAGTAATATAGGGTTTTTTTATTAAGCCCCGAATTTCGATCCCACGGAGATCGAGGATAATCACGGCGGCTTTCAAGAGAAGTTCTTGTCTAAAATAACACGCCCTAGCTTGGAAGGTCGATAAAGGATTGGTTTTTATTATATCCTGTAATTATCACTACAATACTACTTCTACTCCTAAACTAAAATACTTAATGAAAATCAAAAAGTGGGGTTTAATATATTAAAAGTACTCTTCCTCATGCAATGAAATTAGTGACATGTGTAAAAATAAAACAAATAGTGAGAGAGATTATGACAAATAAGAGCAAATGTATTCTTTATCCTCGGTCAAGTGATATAAAGAACATTGGTTAATTCATAGTTTAGGAATCCTAAATATTGTTAAACAGGAGAGATACTAGCTCTTACTCTAGGGTCCCCTCGTCCCCTCACCTGAAGGCTAACATCTAGTATTAAGACCTAAAACTAAGAACCAAATTGGGGACTTTAGCTTGTCACTCTAAAGTCCTCTAATTTTACACCCATCAAAAATTATTTCTCTATTTATATAGTATTAAGACCTAAAACTAAGTACTCTTATTGTTGTCTAAAAAGTGCATCAATGTTGAGGAATTCACAAAGGGGGTATGAGGTCTTTTCATCACAAAGATCATTGTGATAAAAAAGCAAGAATGACAAACAACATTCTTGTGGTAAACCAAATGAAGGCTTTGTTAGACTAATGCTCAATAAGGACGACCCCTTCATTCACAAGAAAGTAGTTATACTAGGAGCATACCAACTATGAAACAAGTGGAGTAGACTATCTTGAACACCCAATTGAAAATAAGTTTAAGTGCTGCCATTTGTAAAGTAAGTGGTTCAATAGCTCATTTAATTCCTTCGTTCAGCCTCCAGGCTTATGTTAAGCATGCTTTGTAGGTGTTGCATTCCTGTTCTTGGACACTCCCCACACTCGCATTGTTTGGCCTGCATGCGATGTTCGCATGTGCTTCATTCCACTACACTTGGCATTTTGTTGTCTTTTACTTATGGGATGCCCTTGCTCTGGCTCTGCTTCCAATGTTGCACCTCTACTATGGGCTTTTGAGTGTCATTGCCTATGTTTTGTTTGGCTATGTTGCCATTGTTATTTCAGTTTAGCTCGACTTTTTTCAAAGCTCTCTCTCTCTCTCTCTCTCTCTCTCGACAATGTGCCACCTCACTCCTGGTCCTTTGGATCTTTCCTCAACATCCACTCCATCGTCCTTTGGATCTTTCCTCAACATGTCGCCATCTGCTCCTCAAGTATTACCACATTGCCATACTCCTATGGTTTATCCCATTCTTTGATCTCCACCTCGCACTAGGATCATTCATGCCATGTGCCTCCACAATCTTTTCTCAATGTTATTGGCTGGATGAGTTTTCAAGTCTTTTGCTTGACCTCACCGATTTTCTTGCACATTTTCTGTATGGGCATGCAGCAATTCATCACAATGGCAATGGCCTATAACTACTTATCACTTGTCATCCCCTCTTCATGATAAAATTAGCTCTCTTATTGTTAGCCGAGGAAATCTTTCAGTTGATTTCATCTTCTTTACCTTTTTAGGAGGTTTTTTTGAGACCATCCTGACATGGAGGCTGTTCATGGATTCATGGCCAAGAGAGGAAGAAACCAGAGCTTTTGGATAAAAAGTTTCAAATTCTATGTGCTAAGAGAGGAAGAAAAAACTAGAAAATATACCAAACCTCTCGAAGATGATTTTCATGAGGACCGTTGGGGCTCTTCTCATCTGGTGTTAGTTCATTTGGCACTTGTTTGCTTTATCGATGTATTTCATCTTATTTTTTGTTTTTTATTTCATTCAGCAATGCTTTTTGCATTTGGTTCATTTTGTATTCTTTTTATTGACTGATAATGATACTTATTTTTGCTTAAAAATAAAAGAAAATATCTATTTTTATATCCTTATCAAAATATAAAAAAACATGTAATTTTCATGTAGGGCCACTATTCATAGATTGCTTCTAGCAACTCAAGCAAATTGCATAGCTTTTCCGATCCTAAGAAAGATGAGTCTTGAGAGAGATGAAACTATATGCATGACTTGTTCCTTTATTGTTCCACAATGAAAGGTAACAATTAATGAACTCCTCTTAAGTTATATGTCTAAATTGTATCAGAATGTTGAGGTAATGATTTGAATCATTTGTGTACATGTCTAATGAGAATTATTGATTTTCCGGTGCAAATACATGCCATGGAGGGAGAGGGTGGGTTGAATTTGATGAGCAACAAAACCCTTTGAATTACTTTTGAAATTCACCAAGAAAGCACTAATCGGACCTAATAAATGTTTTGCTTAACACATTATGTAGAAGCTTTAATATGACAAACATCTGATGAAACAAGAAACGATCATTTGAGTGTGCAACAGGGCATTTGGATTTCTTTTGAAGTTCACCAATGCAAATCTCTTCGAAGGAATCACCAATGCAACCCAATAAATAATATACTAAATGTTGTGACAAATTATGCAAACGACAAATAATATTATGGTGTAGTTTCAATGGTGTGCTATTTGATCAAGTAACCATTAGTTTCAATGCTGATATTTTATCAGTATGCTATTTTAATTAATCCACTACAATCAGAATTGCAGGGGAAAACTTAAATCGAAACTCCCAAATAAATATATGTTATGAGTGGCATTAAGGCTCTTTTAGAAAGTGATCCACAATTGTAGCAATTTAACATATTTGACTTCAACTTTGTCTAAATTCTATTATGAAATTCACCACAATTGCACAAGTCAAAATAGTTAAATCCGAGCAATGGTGATCACAAATGAATACTGCTCAGATTGAGTGTATTTAAACTACAATGCTCAATGTTAAGATGTTAACAATTTTTGCAATGTTAAGATGATTGTTGCAATGTATTGAACTCTTTATCAATCTTCTATTAGAGCTTTCCCTTATTTATATACGATTGTCATATAGCTCAAGGATATGACAGAGAGGCTGCCTCAGGGCGCCCATGAGGCAAGTGGTGACGACCAGAATGGCGTTCACCCCGTTGATTTAGCTGGAGTGCAGAAGTTGTTGAATGATACAAATGTGTCACAAATTCATTCCGCTCCAATTCAGCCTGGCTTTACAAAAGTAGTTTCAGGGCAGAATTCTATGTTGAATGGTATAATTGAAGCTCCTGGAATGAACAAAGATGGTCGAAGTCCAACGGCTGCTGGCTTGAACATGAATTCCAAACATATTAGAAATGGCGAAGCATGCTTATCTAATTTTAGACCTGGTTACATGGATGGCAAAGATACTAGGCCTTTTCAAAACGTGGAGAATGGTTCAAAACACAGAAGTTCTACTTTTACAGATAAGCAAGTTGAGGCAGAATGGAGCGACCAATATGAACCTGGTGTGCATTTAACTCTGATAGCCCTCAGGGATGGTTCTAGAGAGCTGAAACGGGTTCGCTTCAGGTAATTGATAAAGCAGAAACAGGTTCTTCTATTCTTGAACGCCTAGATACTCTCTATATTGAGTTATGTATGTGAAAATAATCTCTAACATTGAAATACTTGCAGCCGCAGTAGATTTGGGGAGCAGCAAGCTGAAACATGGTGGTCGGAGCACCGGCATAAGGTCTATGAGAAGTACAATATCCGAGTTTTGGAAAGGTCTTCATTGGCACTCTCCCCACAATCTGCTGGGTAATTTAGTGGGAAAAAAGGCAAAATTAGATTGTGGAATTCAGTGGCAACAAATTTTGAGAGAAATAGAGAGGTTGCAGGTATCATCAACATCCTTAGCCTTTTGGGTATGAATTGAGGCTGGAATTTTGTTGGGGATCAGCTTCTGCTACTTCATTTTAACAATGGAGATGGATACTGCTCTATAAGTTGTCCAACAATGCAATATATGAGGCCTTTTTTATGCTTTTCATTTATTAAGTATTTTATTCTTTCCATGCCCATTGAAATGTATATAAAATCAAAAAAATCTCTGGGGTAAAGCTAAATCATTTTTAAACTTGTACAACGTTCTATATTGATAAAGGCTCATTTTTTTTGCTTGAATATTTTAGGAATCACGATTCATTATGATTGACAAGTTATTGAAGGGATTTATTGGCGGATTTTATAAAGCTTAAAGTAGAAATTAATATTTCTGTCATGCAACTACATGATTAATTACAAATTGCATCATAATCGAAAATTCGTGTGTGTCATTTTTTATACAATAAGCCTAAGTCTTCAAAGGTCTACATGCAACTACATGATTAATTACAAATTGCATCATAATTGAAAATTCGTTCCCTGAAAACATTGGGCGTTTATCTTGTTCTTGGCAGCACTTGGGCGTCCATATCATGTTGATTTTCCTTGTGGTTTTTCTAATTTTGTCCGTCACAAGACTTACACCAACCGTCGACGTTTAATATGACCAAACCATCTAAGATGGGTTTCATTCTCATTTGAGCAACACTTGACTTATTATTATGCTTCTTTTTTAAATAATATTTCAGTAATGTTAAGACTTTTTTATTGATCCATATTTGCAAGTTACTCTTAAAAAATTAATGTTACATTTAATTGACATTTTGTAAATTCTTTTAATTTGATTAGTCTATTGAGAAAAATAAAATTAGCATATGCTTTCATAGAGGATCAAATTTTAATTTTGATTTTTATTGTAGACCGATTGTGAAATTTTGGTTTTGGTAGTTACAATGTTTCAAGGCCAAGTTTTGTTTTAGGTTTATCTAGTTTTTCTTATAAGATATATTAGAATAATAAATCAAATTGATCATTTAATGCTCTTTTTTACGACAAGCATGTAGGTTGAACATCTAAAAGATAAATTTCCAGGCAGTTCTTTTACTAATTTAAGAATTCTTTTAAACTTTTGTTTAAAATTTTGTGAATCCCAGATGAAAATTATTAGTATAATATTCATAACAATGAAGAAGTGAGTTTATAGGCATTTTTATTAAACTTCTTCTTTCATATATGCAAATTTTATGCACATAAATTAGTAAACTATGGCATGCAAAAGGAGCAATTTATTATTTGTGAAATACTTGAAAAGGGAAAAACTATCAGATCTGACCCAGTTAGAGTAAATCTAATTTTTAGATTGAAATTTATAATGTTACACCCTTCCCTACCATCAAAAAGAGGGATTACAATGCTTATATGATATAGGTAGTGGGAGTGGGGATGTAACACCAAATTTTTTTCGAAGCAGGTGAAAATTTTGGCAATTATAAAGCATAGCCCAATTTTTGCACTTTTAGATTGTTTATACTAGGCAACGAGCTAAAAATAAGATCGAAAAAACTTATTGCAGGACCGCTTCATCAATTCAATTGAAATAATCGTGCTAAATTAACAATGATACATTTCTTTAGTATTTGATATGTTTTTTTTTTTATGTGTGAATGCATTTAAAATTTTTGCATATTGAAGGATGCGTGCATTTAATTATGTTAACAATAGTTGGAATGAATTATGACTATTATTAAGATTTTTTATGATATTGATGTGAAGAGCATATTATGAAAAATTTGCTTGCAGGTATTTTTATCATGTTAATTACACATGATTATCATTTTTTATTAAAAGAATTATGACTACATGAATGCCACAAGTGTTGTGATATGTAGGCTATTACATGAATGCTTGTAAGTATAAAAGGTAAGGAACAATGAGTTTCACCACTTCTTCTATTCTGACGTTGACAATACGATGAAAACCATTAATTTTTGGTGGGAATGGAAAACAGGGAACTGTTGGTACAAAGGGGATATTGATAATCACTATGTTTGGAGTGGGTTAACTTTTATCAATGGTTATTGTAGCCTTGGGGCTGGGTGACGACCCAGTGAGAATACTTGAGGCCAGTATAATTACAAGTCACATTTCTATGATAAGAGATATGACTCATATAAACATGTTTATGATTACATATAAATGAATAATTTTTTGTTTTATATAGTTGTCATGATTCCAGAAATTACATGCATTTTCTTTTACTTGTTTTATCGATTATAATATGTTGTAACATATGTTATGGATATGTAGATAAGCCATATATGATCATATACATTATTTCATTTTCATCTATAAAATTCTTTATTTATATTTATGTATGTATGTATGTATATAAATATATAT